TATTCTCTTGTTACTCTTTCACATTCATCGCTTGCACTCACTTTTTATGTTTGTGGCCATGCTCTTCAAAAATAGATGATAAGTGTAGTATTCCAAAAGGCTGAAGGACACTACAGATGCTTCATTCTTCCAGGGAATCAGTAACAGTGCGCACCTCATGGGTCTCCAGGGGAGTCTAACGGATGAAACTGGTCACGTGTGGCTGACATCGTAATCAACTAGTATCTAGACAGGGTATAGCGCCACTCAGCCTTCAGTCGGGAAATAAGGGTCTCGTGACAACGTATTGATTGGGTCGTTTGTATCCAGAATTACAGATCCACGTATAACCGACACCTTTTTCTCCAATGTGATGGATAGTTTCACCACTGATTCTGCTCCCCCGGAAATGAATCCAGCTAAACAACAACGGTCTCACTAACGTGGCGTTCTACGTTCTTCTGGCAAATCCAGATGGATCACCAATCTAGTCTCCTGTGGACTGTCAATCGCGACACGGGTAACTCATCTCCAACGGTAAGGGCATAAATATGTCCACACGCCGATCCCGCAAGTAATGTACACAGGTTGGTGAATTAGCTTTTCATTGGACTGACTTCGCAGAGCTATGCCAATATCACTACGGAACTCTAGCGAGTACACGCTCATTTGCAAACTAGTTTGGTTTTTCGAGAGACTCACCTGGAACCCAGATGAATCTCTCGTTTGTGATGTTCTCAGGCAACTGAATGTGCTGCACCAGGCCGCCTCATGTGTCGACGAATTTCCAGCAACCTTGTGAGTAGTACATTACAAAAATATACGTATATTGCGATATCTCGAATATCGTAGCGACTGAAACATGAGGCGGCCTGATGCAGCACATTCAGTTGCCTGAGAACATCACAAACGAGAGACTCAACTGGGTTCCAGGTGAGTCTCCCGAAAGAACCAAATTAGTTTGTAGATGAATGTATATTCGCCAATTTCGTGCAATTTGGTTTGAAGTAAAACGTGAGGTTGACGGAAACCCGGGGACTGCGCCTATCTGATGAGCCCCAAGAAGGGCGAAACCGGTCGTGGGCTGTCGACGGATTTTCCGCAGCCTTATGAGTAGTACATTACAAAGATATACTACGGAACTCTTTCACGTAAGACCAAAGAGGAATTTCCCCACCGAAAAGAATTCCAATAGCAATGATTCTTCTTCAAGGGTGCTCCCGTCGTCCAAGCGGAAATCTCGAACCAAGAATAAGATACTTTTGTCTGTCCGAAACGTCGTTTTTCTCCCCAAAAGGAAACGCTGCGATTAGAAGACAGATTCCTCCCGCATGGTCCTCACTTGGACAAAAACGTAGCTGTGGACACACAAAAAACCGTATTTGCTAGAAAGCTTTGCGGATTCAAGACCGAAAACCTGGAGCACATGATGAAGTAACGCACCGGAAATCCATAACTATCGAGTTCCAAACAATCACTGCCACTGTCAGTGTTATTTCAGTATGCGCACTAATGTTGTCCCCTCGCTTGGTGAGGAGATGTTTGCAAAGCAATTGTTAAACTTGGCGAACAGATCAACAGCCAGTGAAAGGTGTTGAAAGGCGAAAAGCCCTTCGCCACGGAGTTGTTTGTTAGAAGACAGCAAACAAACAGTTACAGCCGATTGGACAAGAAAGTGAAACTCTCATATGCACAATGTTTTCAAAAACTGAACATCCGTTTTCTTCTTGAACGCGTCTTCTTGAAATTTCCTGGATATTCACTGACTATCACGCAGTTGTAACGAATGTTGCAAGGCAGTTCCACAAATGCGCGATACATCCTACATTTTACTAGATCAAGGAGGAGTTAGGAGAAAACCACATACTACTCGCATGCTCCACCAGTAGTATCCACTGTTATACCGTGTTCACTGGTTCATAATTCGTATTGCTTAAGTGTCTTTGATAGCCTTTTTCTAGATGAGAATTAACCAACACCCATCAGACTCACAAGGTCATCCACAACGTACCAATCACCATTAACTGGATATCCGCATTATTCATTAGAAAGTTCTACTCCGTTCTCACCGACGCTAAATGAACAATTCCTTCCCATACTACTCAAATTTCATCAATCCACTTCGAAGAGTGTGTGACACTTTGCCCGCAGGACACCTACGTGCGAGCAAATTTGTCTGCTGCTGGTGCGTTTTGGAACCAGGTGATTAGATCGCAAGCGTTGCTTCTGTGCAGTTTGAAAAGTGCACCTGGAGTGAGTGTGAGGAGTATCCCACTGGAAAAATTTGGCTCTCATACTGAGTTGCCGTAAGATAAGATCAATGATATCGTCAGTGATGTGGGCACAAAATCAGACGCAGTATTCTGGCGTCAACTTGCCAACTTTGAACATTTAGATAAATACGATCATCCAATTTAATCAAGAATGCATCAAACCAGTGAGACATCTTGCGAGTTTGAGGCGAAATGAAGTGACTAAAGAGTGCTCCCTCATGCAGCAAGAAATGTACTTGAGTTGTAGGTTTTGGAAATTCCAAGGAGCTTGGAGCAAGCTGGTGAGGACTTTGCTTAAAGTTGTCGCGGATGGCTAAACCGAAATGAAACAAATTCAGAAACGGAGAGCAGCATCTGAGTGTACACAGTAACTACTTAAGAATGAGATAACTGCAATTGATAAAGGTCTTTTGGTTATTATCTACAAGATATCTCCAAAGCAGATAGCACTTGTTTCGACACAGACTATTTTTTGCACACGAGTTTGTTTTTGGCAGGAGACTCAAGTGATTCCAGCTCAATCTCTCGTTTTATGCTGGTCCGCTTGGACTGAATTTGGTGCATAAGGTCGCTTCATGTCTTAGTTGGTACATCACAATGTGTCGTTGCCCAAACGGAGACCCTTGCTCACAGCTGATGATCGGTTTCACCGTTCTTGGGGCTCATCAGGCTGGCGCACTCCATGAGGTTCCGTCTACCTTACGTTCCATCTGAACCCGAGTTGGACAGGTTTCGACAAATACACTCATCTGCAAATCAATTTGGTTTTTACGGGAGGCTCAACCAAATCTCTCGTTCACGATATTCTCCAACTGAATGTCCTGCACAAAGGCCACCTCATGTTTCAGTTGGTAAGATTTTCGATTTGTCGCAACACATTTTTTCTTGATGTAACCCACTACTCAGTGGTGTTGAAAACTCTTCAACAGCCCGCAGCCCGTTTCGCATTTATTGTGGCCCTTCAAGTAGGCGCAGCCCCCGAGTTTCCGTCAAACAGTTCAGTCAAAGAAGAACGTCATAAGTGGGAGATTCAGCTGGATTCAGCCGAATGTCCTGTTTTGAATAGCACGACTAAGAGATGGGCTTTTTGGCCACGAAATTTATGAAGTGAGTCGGAGGCAAAACGAAGGCGATTGTGTTGCCGTGCAGACATTACAAAGGTACTTCGTGAACGTTTCTAGAGATGAGGCTAGTGAGACATACCGAATATGGTTTCCGGACACCCCAAAAGGACGAGATTTATGGGCTCGCAAAATTGCAGATCCCGGATTCAAAGGGAGCGCCCGATGCGGCGAAGAAAGCTAGAAAAATCCCCGCATTTCACTGATACTTGAACCGAAAGTAGAAAATGGTGCATTCAAACAAAATCTCTGAGTCAAACAGTAGGAGAATTTCAATAAACTGCCTTTCATTAGTTTACAAAAAACGCTGTTAAAAGGAACGATGCCTTTTCAGAAACAGGCAGGGTCGTGTGATAAATTCCGGCACAAACGGGAGAGGACAAAACTCGCGCATTGAAGGATCTCGGTAATCGCAAAATGGAATTAAAATTTTGGAAGCTACGACGTGTCCTTGTTGGAAGTGCCAAGAGAGAAATGCCAAGTACAAACGCAGGGTTTTTCTTTCGGCATTCAAGGGTTTGAAATACATTGCCTATGCTTCGATTGATCAGCGTTCAAAACACGCGCAATCTACTTCTGAATTCATTTATCTCTTGTTTCGGCAAAAGTGTCGAACCATTTAGGAGAAAATGCAAATCTGGATACTTCTGGCCATATGAAATGGAAGTAATGCACTCAAGAAATGGCGTTGCTAAACTTTGTTTGAATGATTACGCGGAGATCCTTGGTCATCAGGTTTGGCATGCGCGTATTTAAGCTGCTCCACGTGCACTGTATTAGTTCTGGATCCGCTTGCCGGTAAGTTTCGTCTGCCGTGTGTTTTGGTGTTTTGATGCTTTGGCCCATTATTCAGGTGGCTGCCTGGCACTCACCGGGAAACGTGGGCTACAGTAATTCTGCTATAAACTCCGGCCTGCTGGACGGAACCTGTCGGCAGATACACTCGCGCTAACACTTGATGATATCGTACGGGCGGTCATAACCGCGTTCGCGGTTTGTTGATTCGTGCGTTCTGATTCCTCTCGTCTTTTTTTCCAGTTATTGTCGGGCCCCTTATTATGTTCTGGAGCCGAACATCATCCCGAGGTGTGTTCCGTATGCATGTTTCTCCGTGATGCCCTACCTACATTGTCCGATGGATGACGAAAACCTCATCTGATTTCGCTAACCTTCAAAGTGTTATTTTCCAGATTTTGTGGTCGCCGTTCGGAAGAATTTCGGTAGAGTGCCCGCTTCTCAAAGTCAGTAGGTGAGTCTGTGATGTTTATCTTTCGGGTCGTAACTCCTGACGAGAGTTTCTTTACTGATTTTCCGTGCCAGTTGATTATGTATTGAGACGACACTACTCTGTTTTCAGATTGCACTTTGTGAGAACGTTCAGCCCTCAGGTGAGTGGTCAATTGTGATGAGCGATGACGAGTATGACACATGACATATATCGAGGCATTTGTCTGACTTTCTTTCCCTTGGTTTCCGTAACGCGTCTTTCTGTATTCTTCTAGATGAATCCGTGAATCTGAGTGCCTACCGGAAGAGGCTGTAAGTGTTT